GAGGAAGAGAAGGGGCCGGCCTGGCACACCCTCATTCTGCAGGTCTCAGGTTCCCTGCAAGCTGCACCCGGAGACACTTCCTGCCTACCTCCCCTCCCTGCCTTACTGATGGCAGTCAACAGTGGCACAAGATCCTCTAGAAGCCTGACCCCAGCCTGCTGGCCTTGTACTACCATGGAGCTCCTCGTCCTGTGGCTCTGTGTGACTCCTACAGCCACAAGGGTTTTCAGGAGCAGTCCGAGACTCAGCAGCAGCTAGCAGGAATGTGGAGCTACATTCCTGAGCCCCAGAGCAAACAGTCCTGAAGTGGGCCACATTCAAAGCCTGGGATGAGAGCCCGAGGTCACTAATGTTTGCCTAGTGACGTGATGAAGTCACCTCAGTCTTTGCACTCCCAAGTGAGGTCTCAGATGCAGCACCACTGACAGTTCTTGTAGAATGTCAGACAAGGTCTTGTCTTTGTTTCTGCTCTTGTGTCCTGAATGCCACATGCTGACCCTGAATGAGCTGTGGCCACTGTGGCAGCTAAGCCACGGCCTATAGACCACAGAGCCATTGCTGGGTGATGAATCAGGAGCAACACTTGTTTAAATGTGCCAAGAGGGGTTCTACTCTGGGAAGCAGGCTACAGGGCATCCAAACACCACAATAAATAGGCAGTGGATGGGGTACAGAAGAACACGGCCTGTGGCCAGGTTGCCTAGAGGTGTGCTGTCACGTGGCTGCACGGCACTGGACGAGTTCCTCAACCACGCCAAGTGTCCACGACTCACCTGTGGAATGGAAACACTGAAGCCACCTTTCAGAATGTGAAGATGACAGGGCCTTGGGATAGTGCATGTAAGGCAGGTGGGAGAGCTCCTCATGAACTTTTGCCGCAAAGAACTGTGCCCACCATTAGTAACACGTCTCCAAGGTCTCCTAAAGCAGACTACAGTTGTTAAAAACAAAGCTGTTTAAAAACAAAACCTTGAATTTTGGTGAGCAGAAAAAAACATGCTTAGTGTCTAGAGCAGTGGTTCTCAACCTTCCTAATGCTGCCACCCTTCAGTACAATTGTTCACGTTGTGGTGACCCCGCCAACCATAAAATTAATTTAGCTGCTACTTCATAATTGTACTTTTGCTGTTATGAATCATAATATAAAAATCTGATATGCAAGATGGTCTTAAGCAACCCCTGTGAAAGGGTCATTTCACCCCCCAAAAGGGTCACAACCCACAGGTTGAGAACCTCTGGTGTAGAGGATCAGCTAAGGGGGTGTTCAACAAGTGTTTTCTCATGACGTACAATGAGAGGCCATGACAGGGCCCAACATAGCAACACGTGCTTGGTACTCCTGGTGACTGGCAGGGAACTTTCTTTTTTCCTCAACAAACAAAACAAAGCAAAAAATAAACAAACAACCCAAAAACTAATACTGCAAAATGGTCCAAACTAAATACACACACTTCATCTTGAGTGGACTTTGGTCCGTTGATCTAATCTCACGGACCCTGTGCCATTACACAGGACTTATCTGTGTCAGGGGCTCTCCAGGGAAGCCCCAAAGACAGACACATGCCTAGCACTCTGCACTCACAGAACACCCATCAGAAATAAGCACACACCAGGCCTTTGCTGTAGCTGTGCAGAGACGTGTATACAGCATCAAGGAAGCAGACACCAAGAGTCAGTACCCACTGCAGTTTTGTTTGAAAAGTCCTGTTCTCCAGAGGCTGTGAGCTGTGGTGGACTCTGAGCTGTGGTATTGACCATAAAGGCATGCAAGTATGGCCAAAAATATCAGAAGAGATAAATACCTGGAATTCTTAATTTCTTGAACCCCCAAACAATGCTTCACCACTTCCCACGGTGTGATACTGTATCTTATCAATGAGTTTTACTTTTCTCTAGTTCCTTAGGGGCCTGTTGATGATATTCCTATACAGTGACAGCAGGATCCATAAATACTTGGATTCCATAATTATGCACACTGAGAAAGATGCTTCGCCATTTCAACAAGCTGTGACACCATATCTTATCGACGTGCTTCAGCTCTGTTTAGGGACATGACATTGGTGGCATTCCTGTACAATGACCACAGAACTAAGCTGAGCGTGCTCACGACAGATGAACAGAATGGTGGATGCACATGTGACATCTATTGACTTAACTGCTGCCCTGAGATCTTAATTTTGCAATGATGGCATGTCAGATCTGTGGGATATCAGCATACCTTGCATAGAAAAGACACACTATGTTTGCATATGCACTGTTCTCTGAAATCCCCGTAATGTCTTGTTGATCTTAGCACTGACCTGCTCCTTGCAGAACACACTTGGTTCTCCCGAATCCAGACTACTCTTTCTTGTAACATTTACACACAATGTCCAAACTGAATCACTCTGATGGATATTCTAACGTCAGTTATTTGGAATTGAGATGCAATCCCCAAACAACGTTCTCTCAGTGGGTCCAAATTTCAAGTCAGAGAACGTATTCTTTGGAATAGATTTAGAACAAGACGGCTCATCCTCTGCAGCGAGAACCCTGTTCCTGTGCCTTCCAGGGGCATGCTTGTTGTGCAAGAGCAGAAACAAGGGAAACTTGCTCTTTAGGATCTGGAGCTTAACCATCTGCAACGTGCTGCCGTCCCCCAAACACACACAGGGGAAACATGACCTGCTGCTGCCTGCCAGGCTCCAGGTCTTGGGTGAATATGAAATCACCACCTTCAGCCACAGTGTTAGGTGACACCAGGCACCCATGCACCACCTTCAGGGTTCTTGGTGCTGGTTTGCCATCAACACAGGAAGTCACACACCCGTTTTTTTTACCCCAACACCCCTGGAGCAGAGTACGCCAGTCGGTCCTACCTGTGGTGAGGGCCTCAGCAGTTGCCATGTGCATGATGGTGTTGTCACTCACTGGCCACTTTCCAGGGGAGAGCACAAGGCTGTCCAGTCCCCCTGTCTTCTGCAGCTCCTCCTGGATTGAGCCTAAAGCACTGTTCTCCCTGCAGACGTTTCCATAGCCCAGGACATCACCAACACTCGCCAACAACATCGCAGCTTTGAACTTCTCCATCTTAGAAGGTGACTCCTCTTACCCTGCAGTTGCCTTTGTCCTTTCCTGGCCACCCTTCGCCGGCCCGGCTGACATTTATAGTGGTCATTGTATCACCATCCAGCACTCCCCAAATGGCCAGGCGTTCCTTCCCTGCCTTGGCAGGTGGCACCAATGAGATAAAGCTCCGAGCTCACCACGTGGGGGCTGTTTGGACAGCACTGGCTCTCCAGCAAAGGAGCCTGCTGGCACCCGTCCACACCCAGAGCCGCTCAGAGCCCTTGAGCCATGCTACTGTGTCAGCTCCTTGATGGAATGTGCCCCCTGCTGGCCAAGAAGTGCATGTCACAAGGTGACCATGGCTGCTCCATCGTGGCTGTCCGCTTTGTCCCCGCTTCAAATAAACACTCATCCTGCCATCAAACTAATACATTATGTGGCCCCCCTTTTTAGCTGCTCTCTTTCACTCATTATAATGTTGAGGTTCGTCCAGTGTAGTTTTATGCTTTCAGAAAACTTTTCTGGCCGGGCGGTGGTGGCGCACGCCTTTAATCCCAGCACTTGGGAGGCAGAGCCAGGTGGATCTCTGGGAGTTTGAGGCCAGCCTGGTCTACAAAGTGAGTTCCAGGAAAGGCGCAAAGCTACACAGAGAAACCCTGTCTCGAAAAAAGAAAAAGAAAAAGAAAAAAGAAAACTTTTCTGATTATAAAATTGTGAGGGCTGTGGGAGTAGCACTATGATAGAGCAATTAATTATCTGATGTATGAGACCCTTGGTCGGATCCTCAGCACCATTAAAAAAAAAAGAGTCACGAGAGAAGAGTTTAAAATCTGTAGCACCCGTAACTCCCGTGACAAAGCATTATCTCACGTTTTCATGTGCAGTAAGGGGCTCCCATGCTCAACTTCAGAGTGTGCATGTCTCAGCAAGCACAGTGAAACCTAGTTACGCCACCCCAAGCTTCATGTGCTGTAAACATTCCTGCCTGCTCATGGAATTATTAAATAATATCAGGCTGGGTAGGGCACACTTTATAAAGCCAGGGCTCTTAGTTTGAAATGAACCAGGAGGCTGGCTACCTCCCTATTCCCTCTCAAGCACAAGCCCTGTGGGCACAGACCCCAGTTGGCCCTCCTGTGACCTGGTCTGCCACATCCAGAATTGGCAGGGGACCACTTGGGCTTAAATACAATTGGTAAGAACTTTAGTGCACAGCAAGATGCCTTTCCCGCTGGCACAGTTCTCAATCTGAAGCAATCCCTCAGAACCAGAATGTAAATGGTTCCCATCCAAGTAAGACAAATAGCAGGAGTCGGTAAGAGACCCACTTCAGGTAGGACGCCTGCTGGAGCTAAGTCCAAGGACTCTAGGGAGAGGAACTTGGTTAAGGACACTTGGGAACAACTTCCACACTATTTGGCCAAAATCACAAACAAGATAAGGCTATCGCACAAGTCTGCCTATCTGACAAACATTCAGAGCCCCTACTGTTCCAGGATGCTAGCTAGACACGGCAACAGATGCTGGAGATGTCTCCTTTCCTGCCCACAGAGCAGCAAGTTCAAAACGAACTGAACACTTGAACTAACACAACACTGCACCTATGCCACTCAGACAGGGATGATGCTGTCTGCTCTGGAAATTCCTGGCAGGTACTAAGTGGAACAGATTACATGTATTCCTTAAACCTGTTGTGTTCAGTAAATACGTTTTGAACATAACTAGAGTTAGATTAGTATATTCTGATACGCAGCTCCCATGTGTCCAGTATATTGCACTGAGAAAGAAACCTAGACAAATGAAGTTGTCTGTCTCCAATGCACTTATTTACCTGGTGAGGCGTGAGAGGTGGTGTGGCAAGGGCTTGCTGTTGCTACCAGGGGGCCAAAGACCAGGGCCTTGATGGGCACAGGTAGGCATGTGTGCAACCAAGAGTAAAGGACACCACGACACCAGGGAAAATACTTTATTTACTATTTCTGAAGTTTTCAGCATTTCTGTAACATGCACAGGTCAAGTGTAAATAATAGAACACAGAGCACAATTCTTTGAAAAGCCTTTATCAATTACTAGTACTTCATAGCCTATTGACAATCCCATAGAGTTTAAAATTTTAAGTTACACTTATTTACTTAACTTACTGTGTAACTACATGTGTGTGCAGGGGGAATACATGCATGTCACGGTACATGTGGGAGTCAGTTCTCTCTTCCACCATGTGGTTCCCAGGGACTGAACTCAGTTGTCAGGCTTGGCAGCGGGTGCCTTGACCTGCTGGATCATATCACTGGTCTTCCTGAAGAATTTTAAATCTTAAAAAGAAGAGCGTATTGCAGACCTTCAGAACTTAGTTATTTGTATCTATAAATTTCTCTGAACAGAGGTTAACTACATGTCAGGAACCCACAAAGCCTGGAAGGATGCTTTGCCCTCCAGGTTTTCATTAGGTCAGTTTGGTTATGTCCACCCTCAAAGATGTTCCAGTTTTCCCTTTACAGACCTGTGTTGACAGGTCACTAATGACGTCATCTCACACAGTGAGGGTTGGCTTTGTGGAGACTGGCCTCCTGTTCCAATCCTCCACCTCCTCTGTGAGATCCCTGTTCAACATCAGTAGTCCACCTCATTACAGGGCACACATGCCTCAGAGCTGTTTCCTAAGTCAGGAGCATGTCCCGTGACCAGAGGCTGCCCCAACAGCATATCTGGGACATGCTTTCTGTGCATAGGCATTTGACCAGTCCCGAGTCCTGAAGTGGGCCCAGCATATCTGCTCCATGGCCGCGTTGCAGGCCGGGCAGCAAGGCACGCTTGTGACACCAAGTCTTGGCAAGTGTGAGGTAGGGTCAGCACAGTGATGTTCAAAGCTTGACACCAGATGAGCAGACGGTATCCAGGTCCTCCATGCCTGTACGCACGAGTGGCTCTGGAGCACATGAACACCAGAAAAGCGGACGATGACACGGCACAGTGGCATGGTGCAGACGAGGAGCACGGAGGCTTTGGGTGCAGACTCTTTCAGATGACGTATGTGTTTGCTTCCAAATGCATATGGCTATCCAAGGGCTGGACACTGGGCACTGAAGATATTATAGACAGGTGAAGGGAACCAGTGCGTTTGATTTGTAAATCTAATTTATCACTCAAAAAGAAGTATTTCTCATGGAAAAATGTCCTTTTAAATATAATAAAATATATTAAAAAAATAAGAAACTTCTCAGGAGGCAGCATCCAGGCCTAATAATAACCTTATTAGAAGGAAAACAGGCCCACCAGCTTGTAAACAGTTTGGAAAGAACCTGCTGGATTACATCCTGTGCCATCGCTGTGCAAATTGCAACAATATCTTCTAGAGAAAATAAAAAAAAATCTAGTAAATCTAGAGATCTGAGAATTCAAAACTATCAATCTTGAATACCAAGATTAAAAGCAGTAGGCTCTCTGACAAGGCCATCTTCATCAGGGCACGTTTTTTAACAGCGTGGACTTGTATAAGAGATCCATCACTCTGCAGACACAGAGGATATTTTGAAGCATAATTACAATGTGACTCCACAGCTTGGGAAACCGCTGGTGCTCACCTTGACATCATGAACTCAACAGCATGCTCTCAGCCCTGCCAACAGGTTCTATGTTGCTTTCTGTAAAGACAAGTCATGCAGGCGTCTCCTAAAGCAATAGCTCTGATGACACATCCCTAGCATCCCGAGGAGCTTCTCTGTTTCTCCACGTCAGCCACTGCAGCCTTAAGCGGGGTAGGGATTTGTTTCATGAATGGACGAGGAAGACTTCTGAAGTCAGCAACAAACGCACACAGCACCCAACCCAGCTGTCTCCTGTCGGGGTCCATCTTCTCTTACCCTCCTTCTGTCTGATTTTTCACTTAGAAAGGGCCACGTTTCCCACCTGTGACCACTGGTCGTGCATATTCTACAAAGTCATCTATAAGGACAGGCCAGGCTCCTAAAGGAAAACAAATAGAGTTTTAAAGAAAGCCTTATCCCAGTATTTTTATATTAAAAATATTCTTTCCCCAATCCTAACATCTAAAGAACAATCCGAAGCTTGCATCTGATCAAATGACCTGCTGAAGTCACTCAGTTCTTCTGTTCCAGGGACAGGGTCGGTGAGTGGTAGGTATAATGGCCTTGAGACCACACTCTCACTGACTGAGCCTACAAGGTGACCTCAGGCCTCAGCCAATTTATGGGAAGTTAGAGCCTGCTGATTGGGAATGGAAACAATGGACCCACAGCTTCCTAGGGGCCAAGGAGCATTAATCCTTAGTCACGGACATTCTTTCTCTGACTCCTTAACAGAGACTCCCAGATCTACCCAGTGTAGGGCACCATGGCTCCCACAGCTCTTCTGCCAGATAAGTTAGTTTTACCAGAGACAGTTATGGCCCCTGAAAACCAAGTTGTCTACATTCAACTCTCCCTTCTTTTACACAAGAAACTTTCATTAGGCATTTGTTATGAGCGGGGCACCGTGTTTAGTGTAGAGGACATAGAGATGAGGGGCATTACATGAACTGGATGCTGTCAGTAACAGGGTAGTGGCCATAAGGCATGAGGAGCGAAGATGTCCTGGACAAAGTCCAGGCCAGTTACATTTGGAGGGGAGCCCAGCTACCCAGGACCAGGCCCCTCTCGGGGAACAGTGCTACTGTATGGGAGGTCCTTAAATGTCTCTAATGTGGGGGTCTCTGGCATTAGGGGAAATATGGGTAGACTCAGGATAACATCTCCAATCATCCTAATCAGGTTTTATGTGGTTCTAGAAGCTGTCAAGGAAGTTAAGTCAGTATACTGCTCTCATCCCTCTGGGCGGGTGGCCCTTCTGGGCCAGTGTCTACCCCTCATTCTGGAGTAGTCCATTAGCATCCATAGGAGGTGTGAGCATCTCTGGTAACCCTGTGAAGGCCTACAACTTCTGGTACCTTCTTCATCGTAGTTAGACAAATCATCTGCAATCATGTTTCCAAAATCTAGGAGAAGGTTCCAAGTATCCCTTGGAATTGATCTTTTGTGATGCTCCTAATACATAAGAGAAAAACATCCACCAGGTTAGGGTTCAGATCTCAACTCCCCAATACTCTAGTGGGCAGGGCACACTGCATTAGCAAGTGATCTTCCTTAGGGTGATGGGGAAGGAGTACAGATTCACAACTATCACCGGTGAAAGTGATAGTCCTTTATAGTGATGGTATGTGCTATGAGCCATAAGTACAAACAAAGAATACTGACTTATTAAAAGGTTTTAAATACTAAAATTATACATCCCTGTCTAAATGTCTTTCCTTCCCACTTCCCTAACCCTGTCCAGACATGATGCAGGACAATATGGAGTTCTATTTACCTTATTTCCTCACATTTGTACTTCTGTATATAAAGTATTCCTTGTGTGGGATGAGATAATTATCTAAAAATATCTGTTACTAGTATTCCAGTGACATCAAAAACATGGGGACTATACAATGTCTGTACCACAGAAGGCACGTTCTGAGGCCAAGCTGGGCCTCCGTGGCTCCTGTCTCAGCTGGCCCTCTCCTCATCACCTACAGAAGCACTCACCCCCTTGAACTTACCACTGTCACACCAGCTTTTACATGCCAGCTCATGCATGTAACATAAACAGCTTCTATGCCTGTTATGTGTGTATGCTATCTTTACATTTTTTCACATTTACCTATTTCTATGCATGACCATAGATTAGAGGACAACTTGTGGGGGGAAGTCAGTTCTCTCCTTCCACTTTTTGGGTTCTGGGGATCAAACTCTGGTCATCAGACTTGGTGGCAGTCACTCCTATCAGCTGAGCCTTCTTGCCAGGCCTTGTCTTGTATCTTTCTTTTTTTGAAGCCTGTTTATTTATTGACTTTATTCTTTAAGAACATCATAGAGTATATTAAAACATCAACTGCTAGACTGTCAGCTGTTTTTACAGTTTGTTCCCCCGCCAACACGAGGTCTGAAGAGTAGCCGGCTGACAGGTCAGTCTCATCTCGCTGCTCTGTCCTCTGCTCTGTTGGGTATATTCTCATCTTCTTCATCAGTCTTCCTATCAGTGGCACTGTGTGGATTCTAGCATTCTGCTGACTCCATGGTGTGGTAGCACCTTCTTACTTCTGTACACACGGCTGTGGAGTTCTCTGGACAATGTCTTGTAGTTTGGGTAGAACCCAAAGACAAGAACCTGGTGAAATAGCCAGTAATCCTAGCTACTTAGAAGGACAAACAGGAAGATCCTCAGTTCAAGGCCTGCTTGAACTCAGCAAGACCATGCCTCAAACCCAAAGTGAACCGGGGATGTTATTCAGTTGTAGAGTACCTGTCTAGCATGTAGGAGGCTGCAGGTTCCATCCCAAGTACCACAAAATGAGTCAAGGAGGAACTGGGTATTGCTTTATCAACCACTGAACATTCTATAAGAAACATGACATATGATGGGATAAGCCCCTTGACACGAAGACCTTCTCAGGCCACTAAGACAGTGCTTGCCCTCCATGGGCTATGTTCTTGAATGCTATCACTAGATAAAGAAACTGAGGCACACAGAAGCAATATGGCCAACATCCCCAATCTTGCCAATGGCAGAGCAGATGCATGCCAGCTGGGGGTCACAGATAGAGAAGAGGAGGGGTGCACCAGCCTGGCCACGGGGTGGGAAGCATGACCTTCTTTCATGGTTGTGACAGTGTGGAAGGTCTGAGTATCTCTGCTATCACCAGGACCATCTTTTGTGCATCCAGGACATGTCCTTGCACTCCACTTACTTCAGACAGCTCACAGCTAAACTGGCTGTCCCTACAGGACAGGGTTCAGTACAGCCACAATGCCTTCTTCCCGGCACCCCATGAAAGCCTCCTGTCCATCTTGTGCATGGCAGAATAGATTTTAAAGGTGTCAGATTACAGACACATACGATGGCCGGGGCACCTCTAGGCAACAAGATCTGGTCCACACTCTAGAGTCCAGAGCAGTGTGCAGGGAGTATGGTCCTGGTACTTTATGAAGTTCCTCAGTAGCAATGAAGAGCTACTGAGTTGAGGAAGTTCTCAGAGGGGATGGCAGGTTGGGAGCTGCTGAGATCAGCTGTAAGATGATCGACAACATTCTAGAAAAAGTAGCTGTGTAGAGAACAGCCTTGGAGAGGCCCCCATCTGTAGCTGACTCCACTATTGTGCTGTGGCATTCTGCAAGTGGTTAACCCATGCAGCCTCTTGCCTAATACCTGAGTGCCTTTGTAGTCCTAATTTAGCCAGATGACTACATTCAGTCCCAGTATCCATCCATCCATCCATCCATCCATCCATCCATCCATCCATCTATCCATCCATCCATCTATCCATCCACCTATCCATCCATCCATCCATCCATCCATCCATCCATCCATCCATCCATCCATCCATCCATCCATCTATCCATCCACCTACCTACTTACCTACCTACCTACCTATTTATTTATTTATGGTTTTTTTTGAGACAGACTCTCACTATGTATCCCAGGCTAGCCTGGAGCTCACTGTGTAGACCAGGCTGGCCTTGAACTCACAGAGGCCCCCACCTGCCTTACCCTCCTAAGTGCTGGGATTAAAGACGTGTGCCCCTATGTAGGGCCTAAACCTTAGCATTTTAAATATGAAAAGCTTTCTCTTGATTGGGCACACAAGGCAAGAAACAGTCACTTACCAACAGAAATGTGTTCCAAAGATCTAAAAATTTAAACCTTCCAGACAATACTAACTTCCAATACGCAACTGCCATTTCTAAATCTGTCAGGGAGAAATGAGAGTTGGGGAGAAAGAGGGGGAGTAGGAGGGAAAGATAGAGAGAGAAAGAGAGAGGGTAATTAATAAACCTCAGTCTTTTTTCCTATGGAATAAAAGTAATTACTTGGCAATCTTACCCAATCTCTACACAGTGTTTCTGGAAATGACATGTTATCTAACATTATGAGTCTGAGGAGATTTCTTAGGAAGCACTGGTGTATTATTTGGACATGCAAGTAGTTGTCCCCAATGAACCAATTTTGGAGACTTGCATTCCATGTGTATCAGACTTACTGTGCCTGATCCAGTCTATTCTTACTATTAGCGTAGATATCATTTATTCAGGAAGTAGGCCACTGCCATTTCCAAGTGATAAGCTGAAAATTGAAGGACTCATTTGGAAGGGAGGGATCAGTTCTTGCCAGGAGACCTGCCTCAGGGTCGTGTAAACTACGATAGAGCCAGCTGTCCTGAACTACCTGATTCACAAGCAAATTGGACAGTCTAAGGACTCTGAATTCCTCACTGCACAGCTAAGACAAATTTCTACACACTGAGAAAACTATTTTCACTACTACAAAGACATTCAAAGTTTAGGTTATTTATCAATCAAAGTCAATATCCTCTCCCTCCACTAGAAGACAGTGAGTACTTCACCATCCTTAAAGAAATCTACGCTGCAAGGTCTGTCTTAAAGCTGCGTATTTAATGGAACGTGGATACTGGAACAGAATCTCCAGCCTGAGTTCTCGGGAACAGCCGTCTACTCCCGCTCACTGCGAACGTTTTAGCACTTCTTATATGCGACACAGCAAGCCTCCCTCTAAGCCGGACTACTTTAATCATGATGGACACTGCTCCCCACAGGCAATAAAAGGAGAGCTTTGCTGAAACAGTCTCCTAGTTACATTTCTGCATGTATGTCAGATAAAGCAATGTGAAAAGCAGATCAACAACTATATTAAGGGAACAGATTAGTTTAAATGCGAAACCTGCAAAGAAGCACTTTTCAAGACTTTCTCCTAAATCTGGTTTGATCCCACTTGGACAGAAATTATGGATGTCAGTGCTCCAATTTGAGACTTCAGGGCCGATCAGCTGATCATTACTATTCCTGATAAACTAGAGATGAATGGATAGTGACCAACACTGGATAGGATGATATTTCCTAGGGGCTTACAGAGAATGCTGCAGGCCTGATCCGTCCTAAGCACCCTGGAGTCTCCATGGAAAGGAGAGCGTCAGAGAGCCCAACCATGGTGTGTGGAGGGCTTGCTAGGCCTTACCTATGGGACCCGCAGTGTAAGGCTAAGACGATTAGTCTTGTCCTGCTTATAAGTCTACATCCTTATCCCTGAGGAAGAGCATTAAGTGAGATCTACATTCAACTCATCTTAATGATGTAAAGCGCTCACACTGGGAAATGGAGAAGAACCTGAGGAGGAAAGAAAAATAAAGTTTTATGGCATACTTTATAATCTAGTTGAGTCTGGGTTAGTTTGGGTCCTAGAAACCCTTCTTGTAAAGTACCTCATCTGGATGTGCATGAGTTACATGACTATAAAGTGAATGTATAAATTTCCAACATTTATATCCCTAAGTAAAAAATGTCACTCTATCCAAGTGAGCTTGGGTCAACTGCAAAATAATAACTACAAAACTCCCCAGCAGCAGACCTTGACACTGAATCAGGGGCCACAGTCACTTTGGAATGACAATGTTTTGGCATCAGCTTCTTTGCACGAACCTCTAAAAAGTCCATCTGTCGATTAAGAAAATGCTAGAAGGCAAGGCTAGTTAGAATGATGCGTGTGATGCCCCACTAGACAAACCTCCTGTGTTAGGGGAACAACAGCTAGTGAGTGTGAAGCTTCATTTCCTCAATAATCAAGATTCTCAAAGCTAGCTGATTTCAAACGGTAGCCAGCATAAAAATCACTCAAGCGTCTGCATTAAAACCAAGTACCAAGCTGAGGTGCAGCTCAGTGGTTGAGTACTCGCCCTAGCACGAGTGAGGCTCTGAGTCTAAACACAGGAGCAAGCACACGTGTGCTCAGGCATGCATGTGTGCACATACACATACATGTTGCTTAGGTTAACGATCTGCTGAGTACGGAATGAACAATGGCATCACATGAAAACACTGCAGCTGGCGCAAGAGCAGGAAGATGACTTGACTCTGGGACCTGGGGGCCGGTAAGCACAACTTCAGAAACCTTGTCTCAGAAACACCAGTACTGTACAGGATATCGGCACGCACAGCCACGAAAACACAGCCAAGAAGAGAACCAAGCTCTCTCGACGCCACACCCCACAGCAAGATGCACCTCTTCTAGGAAGTGCAGAGCCATGCCTGCCAACCTCTCCTGCTTGTGCTGATTCTTCGGCAGACAGACCACACAAGGGTGCTCTGGAAAGGCTAAACCGATCGGTCTGCTTTTGATGTACAGCCAATAAAGTGATTCACTTTTCACTTCTTTTGACAAGGCCCTCAAGAAAACTTCCTCAGACAATGTGTGCCTATTTGATGTGTTCACATTCTCTAGTCACTCTCTTGAAGAGGCTTTCTATTTCTTAACACAGTTTTATTTCTTTCCGTCTGTAAAAGCAAAGCAGCAAACTCAGTGACCTTTAGCTTCCTGGAGAATGACTCCGTAAACAACCCAGTGTTCTCAGAAGCACGTAAGCCAGCCCTCTGTCCTCAGTAGAGACTCATTACACTCGCTGCCACTTTTCCTGAATTCTACTGTCAGAGGCTACGGAAATTTATAAAAAGGAGGAGACCAAACATGCGAGGCTTGTATCTTAAAACTTTCAGAAGACTCCTTACCCTATAGTGAACTTGAATGAAATATTCACAAATAAAGAAAATAAATTTTATCATATTTATTTCTTCATTTTTTGCAGTGCTGGAGATGGAAACGGTGGCCTTACGCACGCTAGGCAAATGCACTACACTGAATCCTCTGCCTTAACTTTATGGTTCACAGTGGGCAGTGATTTTAGATTCCAATTTGTAAGTGCTTCAGACACACTAGGAAATTAAAATTCATATTGACTATGAACACACTGAGTAGACGTGATGCTATATGAATAGCTGCCTGCTGTTAAAAACGCCCACGGGAGGCACATGGGAAGAAAGTAAAATCTATGCAGCCCAGCCGTTAACCGACATGCCCCGTACAGAGCACCAGTCAACCAGGCAACAGAAGGGCTGTCTGAGTATTGCCTGAATCCTTGACCCAAAGGATTAGGAGCTCTAGACAATGATAATTTGAAGCCACAAAGTTTTGAGGTGTCTTGTTTTATGGCGGTAACTAACACAAACAATGTATTTGTGGGTTGGTTAACCCAAACAGAATCTGCAGCTCTTTCTCCTTTTTTTTTTTTTTTTTTTTTGGTTTTTCGAGACAGGGTCTCTCTGTGTAGCTTTGCGCCTTTCCTGGAACTCACTTGGTAGTCCAGGCTGGCCTTGAACTCACAGAGATCCGCCTGGCTCTGCCTCCCGAGTGCTGGGATTAAAGGCGTGTGCCACCACCGCCCGGCTAAATCTCCTTTTTTTAATCAAAAATATTTCTTTTGGAGGCAGGGCCTCAATATGTAGCCCTGGCTAGCCTGGAACTAACTACGTAGATCAGGCTGGCCTCAAACTCACAGAGATCAGCCTGCCTCTGCCTCCCGAGTGCTGGGACTAAAGGCGTGCGCCACCATGCCAGGCTGAATCTGCACTTGCTGTTCTCAAGGACACCGAAACTGTAGTCCTGCAGGAAACCGAACACAGGGGCCTACAGGGAATGCCCGAGACTGTACCGTGCGTTCAAGTTAAAATGACACGGGAAAGTTTAAATAGTTTCACTTCGTCCAACAGAAGGAATCTGCGAAGATTGCAGAGTATCAGCAAATATAAATGATTTCTTTCATTTCCCCCTTTGTTATTTTGAGACAGGGTCTTGCTATACGAAGCTTGGGTCATCCCTGCTGTGCAGCCATCCACCTGCCTCCCAACTACCCAGATCACACACGTACATGGCCATGCCCAGCTTCAAGGGTTTGCTCCATAGTATACTAAGTTACAGAGCAGAAGGAACGGAAAAACAAGATAAGCCAGTGCCGACATCTACCGAAGCCCAAGCATCCTTTCCTAACTTCAGGGACTTCAGGGACTGCTGTTACGTACAAACCTGGGTCAGACTAATGCTCATTCTGAAAAACAAAACCGGATAAGCCTCTAAGAGTGCGACTGCTCGGAAGTAAAGCATCGCCTACTTTACAGCTGAGGACGGCAACAGCACCCTGACTGTAGGCACTACTCCAGTGGCGGGAAGCCGGGTGGGCGGGACTTCCTGTGCAGACTGAACTTGGCCAGGGAAGTTGGGTTCAGGAAGAAGAGCAGATGAACAGCACAGCAGAATCAATCCAGCTCCAAACACAGGCTGATCCTTGAGGGGCCACTGAACCTCCCCTTAACCACTGAGCAGTCCCCCTCTCCAGCCCCTAACATCTTCCTACAGACATCCTGAAGCTTGAGGGAGCCCAACTCCAGCCTTCCTGTTAAGTCCTGTGGATTCTGATGATACTTAATGGATGATCAGGGTCCAAGTGAAAACAGACCTTAAACATAACAGCTACCTCCTCTTAGTCTCTTAGGAAATGGGGGAGGTGAGATGGAGATATAAAAGCCAAGAGTTTTAGTCCCCAAAGTAAAAACTCAGCTCCTAGAAGTAAGGATGCTAAAGAGTTGCTACACACCTTTAACCCCAGCAATCAAGAGGCAGAGGCAGGCAGATATTTAAGGCTGAGGCCAATTATATATAGGGCTATATAGGAAGACTTTATCTAAAAAAGTCTGGAGACATAACAGGTCAGTGGTAAAGCACATGTTTAGCATGTGTGAGGTTTTATGTCCAAACCCTACTATTGGAAAAGAATCCCTTAAACATTATGATACAAGTGATTAGAGACAGAAACTACCAGTAAATATCATATCCACAGAGTGGGTAAAAAGTATAACTTCCAACTTCAAAATAAACAAAAGAGCATTAAGAAATAAAACACCGGGGTTGGGGATTTAGCTCAGTGGTAGAGCGCTTGCCTAGCAAGTGCAAGGCCCTGGGTTCAGTCCTCGGCTCTGAAAAAAAAAAAAAAGTAAATAAAACACCATAAACCACATTTTAAAGATTAAGTTAAGGGACCGTGTTTCCTTTTTTAAATGACATTTTGACACAAGCTAGAGTCATTGTGAAGAGGGAACCTCAACTGTGGGACATTTTCTTGGTTGGTGCCAACCAACCCTGGATGAACAAACTGAGCAAGCCAGGAGGAGCAAGCCAGTTAGCTGCACTCTTCCGCCATCGCTGGATTAGCTCTGACTCCTCTGATGTTGGACTACGAGCTGTAAGATGAAACAAACTTTCCTCCCAAGGTGCTTTTGGTCGTGGTGTTTTATCGCAGCAACAGAAACCCTCACTCAACCAGGGACAAAACTCAAGAACTAGAAACACGGGGGAAATGGTCCCAGAGCTCTCAGGAGAAAACGTTCCTGAGCAAGTAAGTTCAGATCCAAAGGACTTGAGAGAAAGGACATGCTGACAGGTGATTGCTAGTCTCTGTGAAGACCAAAATTAAAGGGGCCGGGCAGTTGATAGAAAGGATTAATTCAACACTATTTTGCAGGGAGGAGGTCCCAGGGGGAGTGGTCAGCAGCTCCTCCCTGGAAGAGCAACCACTAACATGTAACCTACTGATTCTATTGTTACCTTACGCCCTTGCCACTAAGCACAAGAAGTGACATGCACTCACAGTACGAAGAAGCTTGGCTGAAAATTGTAGCCATACTCTGCAACCCAAAACCAGAATTCAGAATGTTAGCGTACGACCACTGAGGAGGCTCACTCAGCTCGTAGAGATGCTTGCTACTGCCAGACTGGCGACTGGAGTTTGATCCCTGGAACCCACGTAAGGGTGCAAGAGAAAACTGACTCCACCAAGTTGTCTTCTGACCTCCATGGGAGGTCATATCACATGCCATATCACACACATGCACATATACCCACAATAATAAATAAAAATTACAAAAAAATGCTGGGTGGTGGTGGTGCACACGCAGCACTCCAGAGCAGAGCCAGGTGGATCTCTGTGAGTTCAAGGCCAGCCTGGTCTACAGAGTGAGATCCAGAACAGGCATCAAAACTACATGAAGAAACCCTGTCTCGAAAAAAACAAAAAAACGAAAACAAAAAACAACAAAAAACCACCCAAAAAACCCCCCAAAAAAACAAACAAACCAACAAAAAAACCCCAAACAACAACAACAACAAAAACCAAAACCAAAAAACAAAAACATGAACACTGGTCTAGATGTCTGAAAGGCAGGGATGACGGGGACCATGTGCACAGGCTGAGGAGGACTAGTTGGTATGACGCTTGCTGCCCTGGTCTTATTCCTCACACCCAAATGCACACCATTAGGGTGGTTGTTTTTCTGACCCAGATTTGTACTTTGTACCAACACCACTAGGAACAGCCAAAGTTCTGTCACCAGGATCTTGTCACCAATGCCTGGGTCTCCAGACATATTGTTTCAAGGACCCTTGGCCTCATCACTCACTCTACAGAAAGGCTTTGCAAGAAGAAGAGCTTGCACCATCTGGCTCGTTCCTTTTTCTTAGATAAGCAAAGGCTGGTCTCTAAAATGGGGTAGAGAGGCTGCAGAGATGATTCGATGATTACAAGTACTGACAATTACAAGTCTCAGCACACACATGGTGGCTAACAACGTCTGCAACTCCAGTTCCGAGGGGAGACAACGCCTTCACCTGGGCACTGCACCGATGTGGTGCACATATGTACATGCAGGCAAATCACCCAAACATATAAAATAAATAAACCTCAAAAAATAGGCAGGGCAGACTATAGGGACCTGCCGCCTCCTTTCTTCCCGTGATGCACAGTAGGCTTTGCTCTGCATCCCTCCGTGTCTACTGAGCACAAGAACCAGATCCTGCAGTGACAAGGTCGGGACGCAGGCCACACCTGACCACAAGTGAGTCCGCCTCGGCCACCTTTGCCAAGCGCTCCACCTGACTGTGCTGCACGACCCGAGAGTGTGGGATGGAACGGCCTCACACATCTCATCTGTTTTCCTGAGTCTTTCCTGAGGTTTTCATGCTGGAGATGGAAGCCAGCGCTGTGTGCAGGCCGAAACTGCCGACTTCCACGGCACCATGCCCCTTTATCGTCCAAACATACCTTTTTTAAAAAATTTATTTTATGTGCATTGGTATGAAGGTGTCAGATCTCCTGGAACTGGAGTTACAGACAGTTGTGAACTTCCCTGTGGGTGCTGAGAATTGAACCCAGGTCCTCTGGAAGAGCAGCCAGGGCTCATAACCACTGAGTCATCTCTCTAGCCCCCTAAATATACCTTCTAATTTGCCTGTTAATCCTCATTTAAAAGACCACGTAAGGCCCATACCTCAAATTTGTAAGAGGTTTCATGTATATTTACATACTCCAGGCAAGTAATCGTAGGTTGATAAGGATTATTCTTAGGAAGAAACGAGCCCGAAATAAGCCAGTACTCAGATGCAGAACTAAATAAAAACCCCAAATAAATCAAAACCTCACACTGAAATTTTCAGTTAAAAGCTTCCCAGATGTGTCATCTGTCGTAAAGCAGAAGTGGAATTAATTGTACCGCTCTGAAAGGAGTTGTGATGCAGCTTGCTGTACGGTAGAGCTGTTTCAAGGCCTGGCCGGCAAAACCACCAAGCAGAGAACAAGTTCCAGACATTCAGACTGTCCGCTGATTGACAGCAACAGAGACAACACGAAACGCAAACCAGTTCATATTTTAAGTTTACGATATTTAAATTCAGAAGCCAAGACATTATCAGTTGACATTTCCAGCTACATGAAGTGGAACGAACACAGAGGCTGAAACAGAAACAGCATCGTCACAGCTGTCTGCTGGAGTCACAGAGTCTGTCCACTGACAACGTGACTCAGATCTGGCACCTTGCAAACCTGGAGTTCATACTCACCTAAACCCTTTTGCCCAGGGTTCTTAGCGAAGGTAAAGGTGAACTGGTAAAAGTCTTTAAACTTGGCTGAGTCCTTAAGCTCTTGCTCCAGCTTGGGAAGAAGAGCTTTCAGTTTCTCTGTGCTATCACACCTGCAACAACAGAGAAAGGCTTGCGACCGGTCCCTCCTGGTTCACAGGAACCTCATCTCCTGGGTCCCTGCTAGTGCTGCTGAGATCCTACAGCTACCCAGCTGTCAGGCACTGAGGCCTCTGGCTGTGCACGCTGCACGTGTGAAAGGAAGGAACATGCTGTGTGTGTGTGTGTGTGTGTGTGTGTGTTGAAACAAGGTTTCCCTGTGTAGCCCTGGCTGTCCTGGAACTCACTCTGTAGACCAGGCTGGCCTCGAACTCAGAGATCTGCCTGCTCCTGCCTCCCAAGTGCTGGGATTAAAGGTGTGTGTCACCATGCCCAGGCTGTATTGTTTTGAAAATTGATTTTCCTTTAAAAAAGGCAATCTCCTTTAAAGGCAGTAATCAGCCTGGGCTGGGCTGTGGCTCGGCAGTCGAGTGCTTGCCTACTGTACGTGGGCCTAGATTCCACCCCAGCTCTGTAAAACAAAACAGACAAAAAGCCCCTCACACAAACAACCCCAAAACCTCAGTGAAAGTATCAACTGTTCTTTAAGGCATCAATGTGGAGCAGTGAAACAAATGGGCCTTTTTTGCTTCAACTGTACAACAGGGAACAGAGCAAGAACGATACTCAACCGCTTATCCCAGGTAGGCCAAGCTAAGGAAAACAAGCTGGAGAAACTCTGACAGCCCCAGACCACCCACTAGTCCACATCCTTATGGGATGTGGACATGGTACTAATGGAGTGGACTCCTGCTGGTGAACAAGTGCCCCAGGCACCACCTCCAGGTAACACACCTGGGCAGCAGGCACCCCAGCCCACAGAGGCTGAGGACTTCCCCTCCCCAGAGAGGCGGGGCCCACTCCCTTGTTTTTCTGTCTATCTCTACCACCCTGGCAGCACTGTATACCTCGGGGCTTGATGTAAACTTGAAATCTTGCTATTTTGTGCTTGGTCTTTTGGGCCTACATTACGTGTGTGAGGTTCATCCTGTGGCATACGCAGATACAACTCAGTCATTACCTTTGTCATAGGAATTACGTGTGTGTGTGTATGTGTGTGTGTGTGTGTGTGTGTGTGTGTGTGTGTGTGTGTGATTTATAGAACATACTGACGGTGATTATGTTGGCTGTTTGTAGTTTTCTTATCACAAGGAATGCTGTTAGCATTTCTATACACACAGCCTGAGCACACATGCACACACATCTCACCAGGCATGTATCACTGGGAGCAGCAGCTCTTAGGTCAGGGTCAGTGTATCTTTGATGTGGTAACAATGTGAGACTCACACACCATCGTCTCCCCAGGCCTATCTTATTGCCTGCTGCTGGGTCTTATTTCAGCCAAACTCCAGGCTCCATCTCCCTGCACCCAAGCTTCCATGATGAAGGAGACCTCACTTCTGATAGTCTCACTGGCCTCTGGACGCCTTTCAGGATGTGCTTGTTCACACCTCTCCCTTGCTTTCCAAGCAGGCTCTCATTATGTGTCAGATTCTTTAAGAGCTCTGCCAGCAGGCCGTTTTAAAGCCCTCTCACCCAGAGTATACAGTGCCTCTTTGCTTTGTTTTTGTATGATGAGCCGTTTTTACTTATTTATTTTTAGCACAAACCCTTTAAAGAAGCCCTTCCTTTATCATGTTTATTTGGTGACATAGTAAAACTTAACCCTTTTGCATGATCACAAAGTTATTTTCTGCATGATTTATCAGAGATTAAATGTTTTTAGTGTTGAGAACTCAATCCATTTGAAACTGATTTTCATATATGTTTTAACAGGGATCAAAATTAAAGACTTAGAAATCATCTTCCTTTTATGAAGCTCTCCAGTAGAGGTTGTTGAAAACATGGGATTTCTTTTCATTAAAAGTTTGTAAATTTTAAATTACAGAGTTTGGTGATATGGATGAGAACATCCCCCATAGGCTCACATGTTTGAATGCTTGGTTGCCAGTTGGTGAAGCTGTTTGGGAAGGATTGAGGGTGTGGCCTTGGAGGAGGCGTGTCACTGGGGGTGGGCTCTGAGGTTTCAAAAGACTCTCACCATTCCCTCTCTCTGCCTCCAACTTGCTGATCAAGATGTGAGTGAACGAGCCCTCAGCTGGTCCTGCCACCATGGGCTCCAACCCTCTGAATCTAGGCCACAAATTAAATGCTTTCTTTTATAAGTTGTCTTGGTCATGGCATTTTTAAAAGTAAGATACAAGTTTGATTAAGAGCTACAAATTGTGGGCTGGAGAGATGGCTCAGAGATTAAGAGCACTGGCTGCTCTTCCAGTGGTCCTGAGTTCAATTCCCAGCAACCACATGGTGGCACAAAACCACCTGTAATGAGATCTGATGCCCTCTTCTGGCCAGCAGAGATATGTGCAGCCAGAACACTGTATATATAATAAATAATTAAAAAAAAAAAGTTACGAATTTACAGCCAAGTTCCTGGACAGCCAGGGAGACACAGAGAAACTCTGTCTCTGTCTTGAAAAAAAAAAAAGTTAGAAATTTACGACAGTTTCCTATTTCTTTTCATGTCACTTTTCAGCAAGTTATATTTTAAAAAAACCTTTCTCTATTTCAAACAGGCTGTCAAGTTTACTGGCATAAATTTGTAATATCTATCATTTCTTTATGTTATTTGATTTTGTAAGTCTCTGCAGCAATGAGCTCCTGCTTTTGCTGATTATCAACTTTTCCATTTAGTAGTTTCTATTAAATTACTGTAGACAAGACTGGTCTCAAACTGAGAGATTCACCTCCAGAGTGCTGGGATCAAAGGCGTGCTGTGGTGATATATTGTGTACCCTAATAAAGCTTGTCTTGAGGATCAGAAAAGCAGAGCAGCCACAGCCACCACCTCTTACGTCACCAACTCCACGAATCCTCTGACTGAAATCCCCTGAGTCCTCACCCGAAAGGATCTCAGCTGAACTGCCTTAGTTCCTGTTTCCTCACGCCTTATATACCTTTCTCCACCCTGTCATCACTTCCTGGGATTAAAGGCAAGTGCGCTTCCCAGTACTGGGATTAAAGGTGTGTGCCACCACTGCCTGGCTCTGTTCCCAGTGTGGCCTTGAACTCACAGAGATCCAGACATATCTCTGCCTCCCAGTGATAGGATTAAGGGTGCGTGCCACCACTGTCTGGCCTCCATGTCTAATCTAGTGGCTGGCTCTGTCTGCTGATCTTCAGGTAAGTTTTTTAGGGCACACAATGTATTACCACAGTGTGTGCCACCACTGCCCAGCTATCCTCCTGCTTTCTGTACTTTGCTCTTGATGACCCTCCTCCTCATCCTCAAGTACTGGAGACTGGACCCAGGACTTGGAGCATGCTCAGTTCTGTCACTACTACTCTGCCTGCCCAGCTCTACTTTCCTACTTAGGGAAGGATGGATACTATGCTGGCTAGTTTTATGCTGACTTGACGAAACCTAGCATCATTTGGGAAGAGGGACTCTCAATTGAGAGAATGCCTCCATAAGGCAAGTCTGTGGTGTATTGTTGTCTTAGTTAGAGACTGAGGTGGGAGGGCCCACTGATGCAGGACCTACCATCCCTGGAACGTGGTCCTGGATGATATAAAAAAGCAGGCTGAGAGCCGGGCAATGGTGGCGCACGCCTTTAATCCCAGCACTCGCCTTTAATCCCAGCACTCGGGAGGCAGAGCCAGGTGGATCTCTGTGAGTTTGAGGCCAGCCTGGTCTACAGAGCGAGATCCAGGAAAGGCGCAAAGCTACACAGGGAAACCCCGTCTCGGAAAAACAAAAAACAAAAAAACAACAACAACAACAACAGAAAATGAGGCTGAGCCCGCCCCGGGGAGCAAGCCATTGAGCAGACTAAGCACACCCGCCATGGCCTCTGCTTCAGTCCTGCCTCCAGGTTCCCGCCCTGCTTGAGTTCCTGCCCTGACTTCCCTTGGTGTTCACTGTTACCGGAAAGTGTAAGAGGAAGCTCTTTCCTCTCCAAGCTGCTTTTGGTCATGGTGTTTGCTCACAGCAGGAGAGAGCCTAACTATGACAGATAACTTTGTGAACTGCTCACCATTTCTTCTCTCTTTAGAATCTGAGAAGCAGGATTCTCCAGGCTGTAAGGTCACACTTTCCTCACCATTGTGCTGGGGAGTTTTATGTCAGCCTGACACAGGCTAGAGGCATCTGAGAGGGGGAACCTCAGCTGAGAGAGTCCCTCCATCAGGTCTGGCTGTTGGCAAGCCTGCAGGGCATTTTCTTAGCAAGTGACACAAGTGTGTGCTTTAGGGACAATTGACGGTTTTCGGTTGTTCAGCAACTCAAAACAACCGACTCTAAAGCATCAGCAGTGAGTGAGTGTGAGAAGCATCAGCAAGCAGAACAAGTTGGCCTTTGTACCACCTCACCAAGTGTTCAGTAAGTCTAGCAATTAAAAGATACTTTTGTTGGGTGTTTTCATTTCCTTCTGTGTCACATCCGTTAAATGAGCAACATCTTAAGTCATTAATCCTAACTCCATTAGGTAGACTAGAGAAACAAAAAGCAAATGGTATTCTATTGGTATTTAATACAACCACATAACAAATTATACATTTAGTATAAAATAACAGGAGTGGTTAAAAATTCTACCCCGCTATTCACTGTTAATTCAAACTTGGAAGAATATTTGTTTCAAAATCTTAAATTTTATTTTTAGTAATTTAAATTATGCACATGTTCATGTGTATGTCTGCATGTGTGCAGGTCCCTGAGGAGGCCACAGGGGTCAGATCCCCTGGAGCCTGAGTGACAAGCCGTGGATTTGAACAACCTGACATGGGTGCTAGGAACTGAACTACGGCCCTCTGCAAGAGCACTGCAAGTTCTTAACCCGTGAGCCATCTCCTCACCCCAGGGGAGGAATTTTTAAATTCAAAGAATAAGAAGATTTAATGTGAATAAAGACAGTAGATAAAAACTTGAGCTCAGAGGCCGGGCGGTGGTGGCGCACGCCTTTAATCCCAGCACTCGGGAGGCAGAGCCAGGCGAATCTCTGTGAGTTCGAGGCCAGCGTGGGCTACCAAGTGAGTTCCAGGACAGGCGCAAAGCTACACAGAGAAACCCTGTCTCGAAAAACCAAAAAAAAAAAAAAAAAAAACTTGAGCTCGAGCCGGGCAGTGGTGGCGCACGATTTTAGTCCCAGCACTCGGGAGGCAGAGTCAGGCGGATCTCTGTGATTTCGAGGCCAGCCTGGGCTACAGAGTGAGTTCCAGGAGAGGCGCAAAGCTACACAGAGAAACCCTGTCTCGAAAAATCAAAAAAAAAAAACAAAACAAAAAAACAAAAAAAAAACAAAAAAAAACAAAACAAAAAACTTGAGCTCGAAAGGAAACCAAAGGCTTATAATACACAAAGAAAATACATGTATATGAAATTAGTATTTGTAAGTAGTTGAAAATGATCCAAGTTCTTTCCTTCTGAAAAGTTTCAGTTGAGAATAATTCACTTACCCCAGCTCTGTCATGCCATCCACAAATTCCTTTTTGCTAAATTCACATTGAGTGGCAGCCCTGAACTTCCACGCTATGACCAAAACACTAATACTGGCAGGGTCCAGGTTCAGATCATCACAGAACTGCTGAATCCCATCAACTCCGATTTTGTTTTCATCCTGTGGGTCTGTTGTTAAAATTTGGGGGGAAAACATCATACTACATTGAAAATCAATCTAAAATAACTTCTTAGAATCATACTACTCTATTACACAGTTCTATCAAGCATTTCAGCCACACCAAGCAATAAACAACCATTTTCTATTAAGTATGAAACAAATATGGAACATTAAAAAAATCTATCTGGAAAACAGTTCTATCCTTAAAAATCTAGGTTTCTGGATCTTAGGGAAGGAAGAAACACTGGCACTCTTGTAAAGAGAGGTCATCATTAAGAATCATTTAAGGGCTGAGCACACCAGCTCAGAGGAGGAGTGTTCGCATGCATGCTTGAGGCCCTGGGTTCTAACTTCAACACCAGAAAAACAGAAACCAAAGCCCAAACTCTGACTTAATTTCTAGCTGAGGACGAAGATAAGGAACAAAGGTTTGCTCCACGTGCACACGCTGTGGATGTAAACCTAGCTCTGACGCTGGAGAACAGGGGGAGGGAAAGAAGAATGTTCACAGTTCTGCCAAAGCAAAGGTGATTGACTGTTTTCTTTTTAAGTAATTTCATTTGCTAGCTCTAATGCTGTGGGACAATAATTATCCAAGTCAGTTAGCTTAGGCACCCAAATTCAACAGCTTGGAAATTCACACTCCCTAACTCACAAGTCTAGTTTAGAAAGAAGAGAATTCGGGGTCTGTCTATCAAAAAATGAAACAGTAGAGTATATTAAAGACACTTCATCAGCAAGACCTCAGAAACTAGATCTTTTCATTCCTGACAGATATATGTATCATAATACATCATCATAGTATATATGTGAATTCCATTGGTTCAAAGATACAAATGAAAAAAACCTGTGACTCCTTTGCCCAAATAAAGATTGCCCTTTATAGAAACTCTACCTTTCGTTATTCAAGTAGTATCAAAGAAGTTTGTGTATTGTACACGTGGCGCATGTGTGCTGATGTGCATGCCCATGTGTGCATGGAGAGGCTGGAGGTCAAACTCAAGGATTTGCCCTTATTATTCTCCATGCTATTATTTTTTTGATGTTTTTATTTTATGTGTATGAATGTTTTGCCTGTATGCATTAAACTATGTGCATGCTTGTTGCCAGCAGGAGCCAGACAAGGGTGCTGGTTCCCCTGAACTGGAGTTACAAAGGGTTGTGAGCCACCATGTAGATGCTGGGAACCAAATCCCAGTCTTCTCTAAGAGCAGCAAATGCTCTCACCTGCTGAGCCATTTCTCCAGCCCCACCGTCTTATTTCTGGAGACAGGATCTCTCCCTGAGCCTGGAGTATGATGCTTTGGCTGTATTAGATGGCTAGTGAGCCCCTGGAGTCCATCTATGTCTACTCTCCTAGGAGTGGACTTACTGGCGTGTGTCTCCACATTCGGCTTTTACAGGGGTGCTGGGATTCTCAATGCAGGTCCTCATGCTTGTGCAGCAAGTACTTGGCTCACTGAGCCATCTCTCCAGCCCTACTACTCTACTCTGAATGATGCACTTTCTGTCTTTTGAGAGAGGGTTTTGCTGTGTGTCCCAGGCTGACCTTGCATTTGCAGCAATTCTCTTGCCTCAGCTTCCCAAGGGCTGGGATATGCCACGGTGCCCACCAGCAAAGAAAAAAAAAATACACAGATGAAATGAATGAAACCAGAAATCTTCCTGACAGCCCTATGCATGGAGACCCACCATGCTTATGGGACAACGGTTCTATTAAAAAGCAAACAAACAAAACCAACAAAAACCCTGCTTCAACCTGAACAGACAGTTTGAGGGGAAAATGCAGTAACAGGCACAGCACAGCTGGAAGAGCAGCTGCTCAACTGTCCTCAGCATGGCACTCACTGCACAGGACAGGGATTGAGGGGTTGGGTGAAGGCTAGCTTGTCGTCAGTCTTCTCACTCTCTCCCTCATCTCCAGGCTTTCTGCTAAGGAGAGGGGGCTCTAGAACTTGTCCATTCCCTAGATCATCCATGCTGTCCATCCCTGTATCACCATCCGTGCTGTCCGTCCATCCCTGTATCACCATCCGTGCTGTCTGTCCGTCCATCCCTGTATCATCATCCGTGCTGTCTGTCCGTCCATCCCTGTATCATCATCCGTGCCGTCCGTCCATCCCTGTATCACCATCCGTGCTGTCTGTCCGTCCATCCCTGTATCACCATCCGTGCTGTCCGTCCATCCCTGTATCACCATCCGTGCTGTCTGTCCGTCCATCCCTGTATCATCATCCGTGCTGTCCGTCCGTCCATCCCTGTATCATCATCCGTGCTGTCCGTCCGTCCGTCCCTGTATCACCATCCGTGCTGTCCGTCCGTCCATCCCTGTATCACCATCCGTGCTGTCTGTCCGTCCATCCCTGTATCACCATCCGTGCTGTCCGTCCATCCCTGTATCATCATCCGTGCTGTCTGTCCGTCCATCCCTGTATCACCATCCGTGCTGTCCGTCCATCCCTGTATCATCATCCGTGCTGTCTGTCCATCCCTGTATCACCATCCGTGCTGTCTGTCCGTCCATCCCTGTATCATCATCCGTGCTGTCTGTCCGTCCATCCCTGTATCACCATCCGTGCTGTCCGTCAGTCCATCCCTGTATCATCATCCGTGCTGTCTGTCCGTCCATCCCTGTATCACCATCCGTGCTGTCTGTCCGTCCATCCCTGTATCACCATCCGTGCTGTCTGTCCGTCCATCCCTGTATCATCATCCGTGCTGTCTGTCCATCCCTGTATCATCATCCGTGCTGTCTGTCCATCCCTGTATCACCATCCGTGCTGTCCGTCCATCCCTGTATCACCATCCGTGCTGTCTGTCCGTCCATCCCTGTATCACCATCCGTGCTGTCCGTCCATCCCTGTATCACCATCCGTGCTGTCTGTCCGTCCATCCCTGTATCACCATCCGTGCTGTCTGTCCGTCCATCCCTGTATCATCATCCGTGCTGTCCGTCCGTCCGTCCCTGTATCACCATCCGTGCTGTCCGTCCGTCCATCCCTGTATCACCATCCGTGCTGTCTGTCCGTCCATCCCTGTATCACCATCCGTGCTGTCCGTCCATCCCTGTATCATCATCCGTGCTGTCTGTCCGTCCATCCCTGTATCACCATCCGTGCTGTCCGTCCATCCCTGTATCATCATCCGTGCTGTCCGTCCATCCCTGTATCACCATCCGTGCTGTCTGTCCGTCCATCCCTGTATCACCATCCGTGCTGTCCGTCCGTCCATCCCTCTAACATCATCCGTGCTGTCTGTCCGTCCATCCCTGTATCACCATCCGTGCTGTCTGTCCGTCCATCCCTCTAACATCATCCGTGCTGTCTGTCCGTCTGTCCCTGTATCACCATCCGTGCTGTCTGTCCGTCCATCCCTGTATCATCATCCGTGCTGTCTGTCCGTCCATCCCTGTATCACCATCCGTGCTGTCCGTCCGTCCATCCCTCTAACATCATCCGTGCTGTCTGTCCGTCCGTCCCTGTATCACCATCCGTGCTGTCTGTCCGTCCATCCCTGTATCATCATCCGTGCTGTCTGTCCGTCCATCCCTGTATCATCATCCGTGCTGTCTGTCCGTCCGTCCCTGTATCACCATCCGTGCTGTCTGTCCGTCCGTCCCTGTATCACCATCCGTGCTGTCTGTCCGTCCGTCCCTGTATCACCATCCGTGCTGTCCGTCCGTCCATCCCTGTATCACCATCCGTGCTGTCTGTCCGTCCATCCCTGTATCATCATCCGTGCTGTCTGTCCGTCCATCCCTGTATCACCATCCTTGCTGTCTGTCCGTCCATCCCTGTATCACCATCCGTGCTGTCTGTCCGTCCATCCCTGTATCACCATCCGTGCTGTCTGTCCGTCCATCCCTGTATCATCATCCGTGCTGTCTGTCCGTCCATCCCTGTATCACCATCCGTGCTGTCCGTCCGTCCATCCCTCTATCATCATCCGTGCTGTCCGTCCATCCCTGTATCACCATCCGTGCTGTCTGTCCGTCCATCCCTGTATCATCATCCGTGCTGTCTGTCCGTCCATCCCTGTATCACCATCCGTGCTGTCCGTCCATCCCTGTATCACCATCCGTGCTGTCTTTCCGTCCATCCCTGTATCATCATCCGTGCTGTCTGTCCGTCCATCCCTGTATCATCATCCGTGCTGTCCGTCCGTCCGTCCCTGTATCACCATCCGTGCTGTCTGTCCGTCCCTGTATCATCATCCGTGCTGTCTGTCCATCCCTGTATCATCATCCGTGCTGTCCGTCCATCCCTGTATCACCATCCGTGCTGTCTGTCCGTCCATCCCTGTATCACCATCCGTGCTGTCTGTCCGTCCATCCCTGTATCACCATCCGTGCTGTCTGTCCGTCCATCCCTGTATCACCATCCGTGCTGTCTGTCCGTCCATCCCTGTATCATCATCCGTGCTGTCTGTCCGTCCATCCCTGTATCACCATCCGTGCTGTCCGTCCATCCCTGTATCATCATCCGTGCTGTCTGTCCATCCCTGTATCACCATCCGTGCTGTCTGTCCGTCCATCCCTGTATCATCATCCGTGCTGTCTGTCCGTCCATCCCTGTATCACCATCCGTGCTGTCCGTCAGTCCATCCCTGTATCATCATCCGTGCTGTCTGTCCGTCCATCCCTGTATCACCATCCGTGCTGTCTGTCCGTCCATCCCTGTATCACCATCCGTGCTGTCTGTCCGTCCATCCCTGTATCATCATCCGTGCTGTCTGTCCATCCCTGTATCATCATCCGTGCTGTCTGTCCATCCCTGTATCACCATCCGTGCTGTCCGTCCATCCCTGTATCACCATCCGTGCTGTCTGTCCGTCCATCCCTGTATCACCATCCGTGCTGTCTGTCCGTCCATCCCTGTATCATCATCCGTGCTGTCCGTCCGTCCGTCCCTGTATCACCATCCGTGCTGTCCGTCCGTCCATCCCTGTATCACCATCCGTGCTGTCTGTCCGTCCATCCCTGTATCACCATCCGTGCTGTCCGTCCATCCCTGTATCATCATCCGTGCTGTCTGTCCGTCCATCCCTGTATCACCATCCGTGCTGTCCGTCCATCCCTGTATCATCATCCGTGCTGTCCGTCCATCCCTGTATCACCATCCGTGCTGTCTGTCCGTCCATCCCTGTATCACCATCCGTGCTGTCCGTCCGTCCATCCCTCTAACATCATCCGTGCTGTCTGTCCGTCCATCCCTGTATCACCATCCGTGCTGTCTGTCCGTCCATCCCTCTAACATCATCCGTGCTGTCTGTCCGTCCGTCCCTGTATCACCATCCGTGCTGTCTGTCCGTCCATCCCTGTATCATCATCCGTGCTGTCTGTCCGTCCATCCCTGTATCACCATCCGTGCTGTCCGTCCGTCCATCCCTCTAACATCATCCGTGCTGTCTGTCCGTCCGTCCCTGTATCACCATCCGTGCTGTCTGTCCGTCCATCCCTGTATCATCATCCGTGCTGTCTGTCCGTCCATCCCTGTATCATCATCCGTGCTGTCTGTCCGTCCGTCCCTGTATCACCATCCGTGCTGTCTGTCCGTCCGTCCCTGTATCACCATCCGTGCTGTCTGTCCGTCCGTCCCTGTATCACCATCCGTGCTGTCCGTCCGTCCATCCCTGTATCACCATCCGTGCTGTCTGTCCGTCCATCCCTGTATCATCATCCGTGCTGTCTGTCCGTCCATCCCTGTATCACCATCCTTGCTGTCTGTCCGTCCATCCCTGTATCACCATCCGTGCTGTCTGTCCGTCCATCCCTGTATCACCATCCGTGCTGTCTGTCCGTCCATCCCTGTATCATCATCCGTGCTGTCTGTCCGTCCATCCCTGTATCACCATCCGTGCTGTCCGTCCGTCCATCCCTCTATCATCATCCGTGCTGTCCGTCCATCCCTGTATCACCATCCGTGCTGTCCGTCCGTCCGTCCCTGTATCACCATCCGTGCTGTCTGTCCGTCCCTGTATCATCATCCGTGCTGTCTGTCCATCCCTGTATCATCATCCGTGCTGTCCGTCCATCCCTGTATCACCATCCGTGCTGTCTGTCCGTCCATCCCTGTATCACCATCCGTGCTGTCTGTCCGTCCATCCCTGTATCACCATCCGTGCTGTCTGTCCGTCCATCCCTGTATCATCATCCGTGCTGTCTGTCCGTCCATCCCTGTATCATCATCCGTGCTGTCTGTCCGTCCATCCCTGTATCATCATCCGTGCTGTCTGTCCGTCCATCCCTGTATCATCATCCGTGCTGTCTGTCCGTCCATCCCTGTATCACCATCCGTGCTGTCTGTCCGTCCATCCCTGTATCATCATCCGTGCTGTCTGTCCGTCCATCCCTGTATCATCATCCGTGCTGTCCGTCCGTCCGTCCCTGTATCACCATCCGTGCTGTCCGTCCGTCCGTCCCTGTATCACCATCCGTGCTGTCTGTCCGTCCATCCCTGTATCACCATCCGTGCTGTCCGTCCGTCCATCCCTGTATCATCATCCGTGCTGTCTGTCCGTCCATCCCTGTATCATCATCCGTGCTGTCTGTCCGTCCATCCCTGTATCATCATCCGTGCTGTCTGTCCGTCCATCCCTCTGTCACCATCCGTGCTGTCTGTCCGTCCACCCCTGTATCACCATCCGTGCTGTCTGTCCGTCCATCCCTCTATCACCATCCGTGCTGTCTGTCCGTCCATCCCTCTATCACCATCCGTGCTGTCTGTCCGTCCATCCCTGTATCATCATCCGTGCTGTCCGTCCGTCCGTCCCTGTATCACCATCCGTGCTGTCCGTCCGTCCATCCCTGTATCACCATCCGTGCTGTCCGTCCGTCCATCCCTGTATCACCATCCGTGCTGTCTGTCCGTCCATCCCTGTATCACCATCCGTGCTGTCCGTCCGTCCATCCCTGTATCATCATCCGTGCTGTCCGTCCATCCCTGTATCACCATCCGTGCTGTCTGTCCGTCCATCCCTGTATCATCATCCGTGCTGTCCGTCCATCCCTGTATCACCATCCGTGCTGTCCGTCCATCCCTGTATCACCATCCGTGCTGTCTGTCCGTCCATCCCTGTATCATCATCCGTGCTGTCCGTCCGTCCATCCCTGTATCATCATCCGTGCTGTCTGTCCGTCCATCCCTGTATCACCATCCGTGCTGTCTTTCCGTCCATCCCTGTATCATCATCCGTGCTGTCTGTCTGTCCATCCCTGTATCACCATCCGTGCTGTCCGTCCGTCCATCCCTGTATCACCATCCGTGCTGTCTGTCCGTCCATCCCTGTATCACCATCCGTGCTGTCCGTCCGTCCATCCCTGTATCATCATCCGTGCTGTCTGTCCGTCCATCCCTGTATCATCATCCGTGCTGTCTGTCCATCCCTGTATCACCATCCGTGCTGTCTGTCCGTCCATCCCTGTATCATCATCCGTGCTGTCTGTCCGTCCATCCCTGTATCACCATCCGTGCTGTCCGTCCATCCCTGTATCATCATCCGTGCTGTCTGTCCGTCCATCCCTGTATCATCATCCGTGCTGTCTGTCCGTCCATCCCTGTATCATCATCCGTGCTGTCTGTCCATCCCTGTATCACCATCCGTGCTGTCTGTCCGTCCATCCCTGTATCACCATCCGTGCTGTCTGTCCGTCCATCCCTGTATCATCATCCGTGCTGCTCACCACAGCGTTGGCTTTGCTGCCGTTTCACCCCTTACCTTTGTACCTTCCATACAGCTGCTCCAGCTTCTTCTGGTCCACAGTGCTCTTCATAGACTCTCGGTGGAACGCCTCTGGGTTTTGGAAGAAGCTGTCTGTAGCCTCGTCTAGTTTCCACTCATTCTGTGTCAGGCAGTAGACAGCAGTTTTCTCGCTAGCCTGGGTGCATGCCATGAACTGGCGGACTTTGTCCTTCTGAGTTGATTTAAGTTTATGCTTTGGGATGAAAAAAAAAAAGGTGGGAAAGCCAATGAAGCCACGTTTGCTCAGCCTCTGCTCTTTTTGTTTGTTTTGTTCTGTTTTTTGAGACAGGGTTTCACTGTGTAGCTCTGTCTGTCTTGGAACTCGCTCTGTAGACCAGGCTGGCCTAGAACTCAAGAGATCCACCTGCCTTTGCCTCCTGAGTGCTGGGACTAAAGGTGTGCACCACCACCTGGCATGCCTCTATTCTTAACACCTACATTTTAACTTGATTTATTTTTCTTGTTGGATTCAACTTTCAGAATAGCAGGAACCAAAACCTTGCTCTTCATCAGTTCAAAAGGACTATATAGTCTTCTGAAAATGGAAATGATAGCGTCTCTATAGTAACAAATATATAAAAGTTCAATCTCCAAAACTAATGAAAATCAACCTTTTATAGAAAATATACTACAAGCCAGGAGTGGTGGGGTACATCAGTCATCCCAGAACTTGGGAGCTAGAATTAGGACTATGAACAAGTTCAAGGCCAGCCTCTATGCAATGAGTTCTAAGGTAGCCAGGGGTTATATGGGAGACCCTGTCTACAAATAAGTAAATAAATAAATAAATAAATAAGCTAGCCAAGTATGGTGGTGCATACCTTTAATTGCAGCACATGGGAGGCAGAGGCAGGTGGATATTCACAGGTCAGCCTGGTCTGCAAAGAAAGTTCCAGGCCAGCCAGGGCCATGTAGTAAGCTTGTCTTAAAAAACAAAAAAGAAAAAGAAAAACATTTTCTTATCTACTTAGTTCCTTTTGTATAAAATATAGCTTTCCCCCCTTAAAAATATTAGCACAATATCTCAGTGACACACATCAGGTACTGTCAACATCACAGGGACCTGATGCCATCACAGGGGCCACCCGCAGAGTCATTAGCTTCCATTAAGTGCGGGCTGTAATGAATAGGGAGAAAAATGGACCGTTTGGAAGCCCTAGTTTTAAGGCTTTTCCTGGATTACAAGCAGAACCATGCTGATGGAACACACAAATAACCAAGAGTTATGCTGGAGGTCACTGCAGAAGTGCCACACGCACAAAAAGAGCTTATGATGACATGAACACGATAGTACTGCATGTGAGATGGGAAGCAGGACAGAGGCTGTGGTCGGCAGTACATAATCAAACTGCCAAGTGACGGTGCTATATATAGTCTCCAGTGAAACAGGAGAGCATCTGCATACTTGCAGCCCAGCGTGGCTGCTTCTCTAAGGTAACTTGGGGTAAGTCACACCAGCAGTGTTACTCATGTCTAGAAATCAAAACAGAGTCCATATTCTACAGGTGTCTTTATTCGGTAGTACTGGGGATCAAACCTGGGGCCTCATGCATGCTATGAAAGTGCCATGCTACAGTGGTATATCACCCGTCCTGAGGCTTGTTTTTTTTTTTTTAATAAAGAAGCTTTATACAATAATAAGGGAACAATTTTTACTTAAGAGGATTACACTTATCTTGTTCAAATAAAGATGAGAATTTATAGCAAAACAGAATAAATTTTAGCTTACAGAAATACATAATGAATAGCAAGGTGTAGATGGAGAAATCAAGGGGCACAAGGCAGGAATGGGATTAGAATAAAAGACATGCATACCATGTACCAGAGTTGAAAAGGGGCTGAAAAGCAGGCTCCAAGCCTCCTAGCTGCCACAGCAAAGAAGAAAACCCGATTAGGTGAAGAAAATCTCTTGTAGTCACATGTAAAAATCTACCAACGGATCCAACATAGTTCTGTGCTCCTGGCCTCAATCCTGAGGGAAACGGTCCTCATAGCCCCTTATGAAGTAAGGCAGGTGCAATGCCCCCTGTGAGGATGTAAATATCAACAACAGAAAACAGAGCACATCCCAGAGTCCTAATGCAAACCGCATGCTTGTGTCAAAACACTCGTGTGCTGACCCGGCAGAAGAAGACGATGCAGTCAAATACAGCACGCTTGAGGAGGCACTGCAGCTCCTGGGTGCTGAGACCTTATGGGGGCTCACAATGACCAAACAGTCTTCCTAAGCCTCTAGAATGTCACCAGTCTCATGCTCTTCTTCTCACTGAGTATGCAGGAGAGGCCTCTAGGCACTCCACAATTATTTGTGATATAAAAAGAGGATGAACACACAAAGATCAAAACCTTTTTAAAAAAAATACAGAACATTTCATGTGCCATCCTTGCACAGTGGCCATCCCAATCTTCTCTGTATGGTTCCAATTTGAGTATATGTGATGCCAAGGTGAGCACAAGAACTTACCTTTTATGATGCTGGACAGTAAGATATTTTCATAGATGTAAGGGGGAAAAATGGGTTCACTATTGCAACCTCCATCCCCAGAAAGGGCCTCTCTGTGTAGTCCTGGCTATTCTAGAACTCACTCTGTAGACCAGGTTGGTCTTGAACTCACAGAGGTCTGCCTCTCTCTGAGTGCTGGGATTGAAGACGTGTGCCACCACTTCCCAGCTGCAAATTCTTTAGAAGATTTTGTAAATTTTATTTATTATTTTCATGTGTATGAGTGTTTTGCCTGCTTTATACCTGTGCACTGTGTGTGCAGTATCCATGGTGGCCAGCAGAGGGTGTGGAATACCTCAAGACTGGAGTTCCAGATGACTGTGAGCTGCCATGTGAGTGCTGGGAATCGATCCCTGGTCCTCTGGAAGAGCAGCCAGGTATTCTTGACAGCTGAGCCATCTCTTTACAAAGTCTAAAATATGTTTATTCTGAAATGTAAATTCCTGACATGGTAAATTCTGATGACCACTATTATATACTACAAATACATGGGGTTCCTGAGACAAAGGCATAGACAGTGAATACTGCAAGCTGTAGTCATATAGTCTTTCACACATACTCAGCATTGAAGAGTAAAGGTCAATGGCTCAGACACTATGTACATGCAAATAAAACTTTATACAGGCCTGGCTTGTTGGCTCTAATCGGCTGCTCCAATATAGGTTTGGGGGGAATATATTCTGCACACTATTCCTTAAAACTGAGCCTTTGAAAACAATAGACAAAGAATCCAAGGTACATTCTTGGCTAAGATCAAATTTAAATTAGGACAGATCTTATACACTCTCCTAGTTATCTGACAACTGAAGGAGACAGTATCTTTTTATGAATCTGACAATCTCCCTATGGGAAGACTGGCTACTTAAAAAGCCTTAAGAGAAAGACAAATCTGACATGCCCTCTATTAAGAATAGACGTGGTATCTTTACTGTGAAATAGCCCTTAGTGCTAGAATCGACACTTTTGCCATAGCTATAAAACTAACTTTGGGATATGTAAGAGAGTATCACTCAATCATAAAAAGGAATGAAACAGCAACAAATGCCACAATGTGAGTGAATCTCAAAAACACTGTGCTCAGCCAAACAAGCCAGACACAAAGGGCCACATATTACAGAAAATGTTATATGCTATATGCAATGTGCAGAATATGCATCTGGAGGTTAGTGGATACCAGGGGCTGAAGAGGAGGGGGGAGCTGGGAAGTGCTTATGGGCCCATGATTTTCTTTGAGGTGATGAAATATTTTAGAACTAGATAAAGGGGGTGGCTGTACAATATTGGGACCATGCTAATCACTATAAATTTGTACACTAAAAAAAAAAAAATCAACAAAGCAAGCAAGAACCTCCAAGACTCCAGTTATATCCCCTGGAACAGCTGCACCATTTGACAAGTGTAATGTCACAGAGAGCTGCACATCAAGAAACTGTCGACATCTGGAAGACAGGATGATGCCTGGCTCTGAGCTATGACTCCTGAAGTCATCTCTGTAGGCCTCTTCCAGTGTGTTACAACTCAGCTTTATCTAGGTCAGTGGTTCTCAACCTTCCTAATGCTGCGACCCTCTAATACAGTTCCTCATGTTGTGGTGACCCCCAACCTATTTTTTTGTTACTTCAAACTGCAATTTTGCTACTGTTATGAATTGTAATGTAAATATATGGCATGCAGGACAACTGATTTGTGATCCCTGGGAAAAGATTGTTTGACTCCCAAAGGGGTTGTGACCCATAGGTTGAGACCTACATCTAGTGCAAAGAGCATTATGTGATAGATGCAAGTATACATCAGGCACTCAAAGAGGTTCTGAATGACCTCTATGTTAGTTAAAGAGTGGGCAGAGTGCAGACAGGAACGTAAACAGACCTCCCTTCAATCTATTAAAACTGGTCTAGCTGTACAGGATACCCCCACCAACTGCGCACGTCAAGGGAGGGCCAAGGTGCTAGTCCAGCAGGAGCTGCAGCGACACCCATGAAGGAAGATCAAGGTGTTGGCAGCACAGTCACATAGTCTGATGTCAGCCTTTACAGACGCTGTCATTAAAGAATGATATCTGGATGCCGGCATGGTAGTGCATGCCTTTAGTCCCAGCACTTGGGAGGCAGAGGAGGATCAAGCTCTGTGAGTCTGGGGACAGCCTGGTCTACATAATGAGTTCCTGACCAGTTAATGTTACATAGTGAGATCCTCCACCCACCTCACCACCCCAGAAAAAAGTGCCTGGCAAAGTGGCTCGGTGTGCTCACCCGACAAGCCTGACAACCTGTGTTCAATCTCCAGAAACCATGAGAAAGGGGGAAGGAGAGAGCTGAAGCCACAGGTGTCTTCTGACTTCCACATGTCTGCCTCACAATAAAAAGTATTTTTATAAGGTTTATTTCAATTTTATGCGCATGTTTCATCTGCACGTCTGGTGCCCATGAAAGTCAGAAGAGGGTGACAGATCCCCTGCAACTGGAGTTAAAGGCAGTTGTGAGCTGCTGTGTGGGTGATGAAAACCAAACCTGGGTCCTCTTAACTGCTGAGCCATTTCTCCAGCCCCAATAATAAATGTTTTTAGAAACCAATAATCAGCAGCTACATCTAGAGAGTGCTTGCTTTGCATTAAAAACCAGCTAAGAGAAACCAGGCGGTGGCAGCGTACACCTTTAATCCCAGTGCTTGGGAGACAAAAAAAGGCAGGTCTGTGTGAGTTCGAGGCCGGCCTGGTTTACAGAATGAGTTCCAGGACAGGTACGGCTACACAGAGAAACCCTGTCTCGAAAAACCAACCAACCAACCAACCAACCAACCAACCAACCAAAAAACCAAAAAGCTACAAGAACTCAGGTTCAATGGGAAGGGGAACTGGTAAAACTTTAAGAAAAATGGCTTATAAATTAAAAATTTATAGGAAAATAAAAGAGTTCCAAGTCCATCCATGTAGTAGATGAGAAATCCATGTCAAGGTCTACTCAGGCAAGTGATTCCATTACAGCTTAGCTTTAATGGGAACCAAAGTACTAGAGAGCATTTTCCATGTTTCTTTATTTTAGTGTTCTAAAATGCATAGAATTTTTTAGTATAATTCTTTATATATTTTTTTAAATTTTTATGTATACTTGTCTGCATATACACCTACCTGCACATCAGATCCCATAGACAGTTGTGAGCTGCCATGTGGGTGCTGGGAATTGAACTCAGGACCTCTGGAAAAGCAGCCAGTGCTCTTAACCTCTGAGCCATCTCTCCAGCCCCTAATTCTTTATATTTATTTATTTATTTATTTATTTATTTATTTATTTATTTATTTATTTTGTGTGCATATGCCACCATGTGTTTGTGTGTGTACATCAGAAAAAAACTTGTATTGTTGGTTTTCCTTATCTACCATATGGATTCTGGGGACTGAACTCAGGTCATTAGGCTTGGTGGCCGGTGCCCTTACCTGCAAAACCATCTCACTGGCTCCTAAAATGTACAAAATTCTTGAAATAAAAACTGGGAGAGTCCAGTTGACCTCAAGAATTGGCTATTAGTATTAGAACTATTCCTGGAAATGATATTTTAAAAAAGACTTTTTTATTTTGAGACCAGGTCTCACTATGTAGCCTGGCCTGGAACTTGCTATGTAGACCAGGCTGGCCTTGAACTCTGAGATCTGATGGCTCTGACTCCCAAGTGCTGGGATTTAAAATGTGTGTCTGCATGCCAGGCTACACACACACACACACACACACACACACACACACACACACACACACACACAGGAGCACTCTTATGCCCCACAGATGCCAGAAGAGTACATTGGATGTCTTGAAGTTGGAGTTACAGGCAATTAAGTTGCCTGATGCTGAGTTTGAGAACAGAACTCAGATTACTTTTAACTGCTGAGCTATCACTTCAGCCTGGAGTGGTAGATTTTACTTGTGTTAACCCTTTTGGTCAATTAAATTGCAAAAAAAAATATTTCACTCTAAGAAAACCATTTTAGGAAGAGATGAATGGAGCTCCTTCGGGGACAACCTCTTGGGTGCACTCTTTGCCTAACATTTCCAATAGCTCATCTGCATCACTTTCAGATGTTTCAAAATTAAATTTACAGTAGACCACTGTTACAAGTGCCTAAAGTCACTGATTAGTGTTTTCATAGTCTCCCACAGAGCTCAACACAGTTCCTCACATACAACAGTAGCTCTTCAGAATTGTTTCAGCAATTGAATACAGAAAACAGGACAAGTGGACCTTCTGAACGGCTGAATGTGGCCTGGAACAGAACAGGTGACCTTCTGAATAGTGGGAAGCTGGGACTTCAAACGCTTAATGAGTTATCTTGTAAAAATAGCACACAATTCAGGCACAAGGGCGCTCCTATATAAGATTTTAAAAGCATCTGTAAAATGTCCTTCCAGAGACATCTCCTCTTAGGCTCACAGGACAACCATTTGATCAATTTGTGGTCCACTTTAGGTTTGACTGTGCTTTGGCATGTGCAGGCCTGGAGAGTGGGTCGTTAAATCCAAATGCTTCCGGATCTTCAGCCTCCCACATTTCCTTCCCACGTTAAGTTCCTGTTCGAATGCATAGGTGAGTGGCTTGGCCGCTGGGTCTGCTAGCTGCTGGTCAGAGGAGTCCTTCGGCTGCTCTTCTTCATTATTTCTTGGTTTCTGGGTTTATACCTTCTAGTTTTCCAGCCTCACCCTTCTCGGTATCCGTTCCACCCTCTCTTGTCTTCCTAAGAGGTTCTCAGCCCTCTGCTTTCCTCTACACAAACAGACACCGCTCTAGGGACAGAGACAAAACTTGTCTTCCTGGGCTCCCATCCGCCCGCAGCCTCTCAGAGCATGGCTACCCCGAGGTCCAAAGAATGGGGCTGTCAAGAGTCCCTCCCGCGGTCTAGGCCTTTGCACAGCCCTACTCGGCTAACCCTCCTCTACCTCGGGGTCCTGCCCGTCTCTCCCCGTCTCCAGGAGCCCCAGCCTGATTCCGGCTCTGGAAGAGAGCGGGCAATCGGTGACATCCTCTCCCGGCGCCAGCAGCTGCGCGGATCGCACACCATCCTCACCCCGCAGAGCCTCGCGCACCACCTCCCCGGGACCGCTTCCTTCCATCTCTTCCAGAAACCTCGGCGACGGAGAGCTTGCAGAGCTCGGCCAGCTCCGCCCCAGTCGGCGTCACTGTCCCCTCCTGCCGCGGGTCGGCTCCGCCCACCGGGCAGGTGTCACCCGGCTCACTCTCAGCCCCGTCCCGCCCTCCGGTCAGGTCAGCCCTGGGCCGATCGGGTGCCGTTGCCCTCCCTGAGACCCAACCGGGCTCCTCACACCTCACAGGCAGGGCCATGCCTCTCCAAGCCAACCGTGCCCCTCCCTCCGCACCCCGACGGGGACACCCGGCCTCCTCCGTTCAGTTATCCTGAAGCCAGCACAGAGCGGTGACCTCCGCGCCCGGCTCTGGCCGCACCTGCCAAGCGCAAACCCCGCCACCTACCATGCTCCCCAACGCTGCCGAAGCGGCTTCAATTTTCTGCGCAAGCGCACGCCGCTCTCCTCTGCGCAGGCGAACGCCGCCGCGGCAAGCAGCAGGTTCTCGGCGCAGGCGCAGTGTACTGACGCTCACTTTGGCAAACTGGGACGCTCGCCCAGTCTCCGGCTCTCTGAGTGCAGTGCAGACAGGCGCCCTTCCTGTCCGAGGCACGGCGTTTTGGGCAAATCGTGACCTCCCTGTCGGAGGCCGTTGCTGTTTTCTGGCTCTGAGGCTACGCACCTACTAGAAGGAGACTGGCCGGCCGGCTCTAGAAACTACAGTTCCCGGCGTGCACCGCGCCGCGCGAAGGCCGACGGAGCTGTCCACCAGCAGCCTGCTTAAAGGGGCCGCGACTGGTTTTCAGCTGCAGGTCAGAAGAGCCTGAAGTAAGAAGAGGGCGGTGCCGTCCTCCGTGTCCTGGTCCCACGCCCATGAAAGGGATGTGGGCAGGTCCACGTCTGTCCTTCTGCTCGCTGCGCCGTGGAGCTCCCGATCGGGGACAATGATGCTGAGGTCTCAGGTCCAGAGAGCGGCCTCCTCCATCGGGGTGAGCTCTGCGGGTGCGGGACTCCTGTCCTGAGACTCGCTCCAGCGGGGTCCCCATCCGGGGAGCTCAATCCTGGGGACTCCTACCTGGGGATCCTTCACGGTTTGTCTTTTCCAAGGGGGAGGGTCCTTCCTTGGGGGCCCCCTTTGTCCACTTTCCTGTGGGGGGCTCCTTCCCGCGAAGTTCCCCTTCCCAGTGGCTTCTTTTCTTGTGGGCTCCCCTTTCCAAGACTTCACTCAGACTGGACGGTTCAGCTCCCCGAGCCTCCCGTTTTTGCTCGTCCCTGAAATTTTATGTCCATTCTGGGTCCTGCCCTGTGGGGTACTGAGGCGGACAGCCTCTTTTTAAAGGTGTACCTGGAAACGGACACCCCAAGATTGTTTTTCATAAGCAAGTGCGGTGCCCTGCAACCCTTGACTTAAGCTTATACAGCCTGGGAGGTGTCATAGTCAACAAGCAACCAAGAGGCTTGCACGTTCCCCAAGAATTCTTAATTCTTCATTTAGGTGTAGGGTTTTGTTTGTTTGTTTGTGTAACAATCAAGGAAGTTGAAAGTGACCTGGAAGGTCACCCTAGCACCGTAGGTTTAACCTCTGGCTCCAGCCTCCCGCTAAAGCATCAGCCAACTCTTGAAAGAAGGGTAGGACCATGTACATAGAGCCTAGTGGCTTTATTTTCAGTATCCAGCTCGTCTGTCTGGAGCGTAGTGTAGGTTTGCTTACTTACCAGAGAAATATTTGCTGCCGATGAAAAGGCCTCTTTCTTCACAGTCTTTTTCTCCTCCTCGGCTTCCCTAGCTAAGGAAAAGAACAAGCACAAGCGGCAGGCTGGGTGCTGTCTCCTTTCTCTGTGGACTTGAGTTGGTGCCTCCTGAACAAATAACGTAGCGATTTGAACAACCCTTTGAACACCATCAAGACGCTCTGGTTCGTAGGTTATAGGTCAAATCATTGCTCAGCCTCTGTTTTTCTTATCTTTCTTTGGTTCATAACATCTTATTCCTCTTCCATATTATGTTTTGTTTGTTTTTTTTTTTTCAAAGTAGTTTCAAGGATTGACCAATTGGACATGCTCCCTTCCCCTGCCTAAAAGTTAAACACATACTTTAAAACTTTTTTGGGGGGAGGGTCACAAGAATGATCTTTTCATTTACTTCCTCTTTCTTGTTCTCTAGTTCTTGTAGTGATTAGGTATGAATAATATGCTTCATCTTTGCCAACTATCTGTTGTGTTTAGGGGCTATAGGTGCTCTTTTCAATGTATTGTAGAATTTAAAATGGGCTTGACTGTTGGTTGTGCATGCCTTTAATCCCAGCACTTGGGAGGCAGAGGCAGTCAGATCTCTGTGAGTTCAAGGTCAGCCAGGGCTACTAGTGAGACTGTCTCAAAAATAAATAAATAAATAAATAAATAAATAAATAAATAAATAAATAAATAGCTTTAAACTAAAGGGTTTGAATTCAGTAATTTTCCCCGTTGAGACTTTTCTTTGCTGTCTTATCCACCTCTTCCTCTTTAACCTACTCAAATGTACTCTTATAAAGAACTTCTACTTTGGAGGCTGAGGTAGGAGAATGAGAAGCCTGAAAATAGCCTGGCTTCTGTGGTAACTCAGTATTTCAAAAATGAAAAATAAGGTTTTTTTCTTCTTAATAAGTTTTGAAGTAAATTTTATGATTCTTGTGTTTTGTTTTTGAGATAAGGGTCTCACTATGTAGCTCTGGCTGTCCTGATGATAGTCACTGTGTAGACCAGGCTAGCCTCAAACCCCCATAGCTCCACCTGCCTCTGCCTCCTGAGTGCTGGGACTAAAGGCTGTGATTTGCTTTTTGTTTGTTTGTAGTCCAGGCTAGTCTGGAACTTCTATGTGTCCCAGGTTGTCCTTAAACTCATGGCTGAGATTATAGGAATGAATCACCATGCCTGGACAATGATGTGACCCTTATGCTGGAAGAAATAATGTTGCTGTTCTAAATGAAGAGTAGCCACGAGTTTGACTCCCAGAAAGTTCTTCCT